GCGAGGAGGAGAGGGGAGGGGGGGGGGGGTCTGTGTTCCGAGCAAACACGTGGGCTCGACGATGGGCACAGGTACTTAACCCGCGCGATACCTCGTGATCACCGTTCGAGCGCGCGGTCGTCCCCGACAGTCTCTCCCTCTCTCATTACGAATAAACAGTACCAGCTACTGTGGACCGGGTCCCGGAGCTCTGTCAGCCACGTCAACATCGGGCTGCCGTCCGTCCGACCGACCGACCGACCGCCCCCCTCCCCACCGTCCGCCCCGCGCGCCTGTCTTTCTCGTCGGGGATTCAGTACGGCGAGCGGGACCCCACGGCATGCCAAACAGAAGCCGAAGCAAGCCGGCCGAGTACCTGCCGGGACGACCACTCAGCTGTATCAACATTCGGTACACGACATTCCTCTTCGATCTCCGCGGCTGTGATGCTTTAATAATATAATCGCGCTCGGGAATAACGCCTCGACGGATCCGACTTTCTCGTTCCACTCGGACAAGAAGACGGTAGCCCAGCCGCGTGTGTACCTGTCGCTGGCGGGCACAGGCCGTGGGACAGGCCGCGGAGAAAACCGGAGAAATTCTGGCGAGCGAGATGGCGCGGCGGTGCGCGCGCGCCCGTAAGATCGGCAGAAAATGGACGAGTTAGAGGATCGACGGATACAAAAAAAAAGAAATGTGGCTCGTTTCGGACATCGAGCCGCGCGTCGTAGAATTTTCTCCGATTTTTCAGCGGCAGTCTGTGGTTATGAAAAATGAAAAAGTGAAAGAGAAATTGACAAATTACAGATTCCTCGGAAACAAAGAATATTATGCTTCTTTTATATTAATTTCCTGGCAAGGTACTATTGCAAGCGATGCGCTGAATTTTTCTCAGATTTTTCACTCGACTGCGCCATTTCCAAAAAAAATGAAAACCGAATTCGTCGCAACGTTTTTGTTGCGAACAAGAAAGTTACTTACTCGTTAGGCTTACCGCGAGCGTAGATTAGGTTATGTCAAACGTCGTTACATCGAAACGCGCAATTTTTCAACCTGAAAAATGCGATTTCAAAGAAAGAAGAAGAGTCACACGACGAAAGCATTAATTTCCACGGCGAGGAACGAGGAATCGGCGAGCGGGAGGACCGCGTTCGCGCTGGACGCTGTTCGCGGAAAAATGGCGGCAGGAGATAAGACGGCGCGCGGATAGGTGGCGCGGATGACGTAATGGAGCGTTTTGTAATGCTGTTTGTTGGAATCGGATTGCGTCCGTTCGGTGTGGACGAGGCTTAGCCCCTCGACGCGACATTTTCTTCGCGGTTGCCTGCTACTGGAAATTTTTCCATCGCGACGATCTCCTCGAAGGTGAAGGGAATTGATGCTTTCGTCGTGTGACTTTTATTCCTTCTTCGAAATCGCATTTTATAGGTTGAAAAATTGCGCGTTTCGATGTAATAACGTTCGAAATAACCTAATCTACGCTCGCGGTAAGCCTAACAAGTAAGTAACTTCCTTGTTCGTAACAAAAATGTCGACGAATTCGGTTTTCATTTTTTTGGAAATGGCGCAGTTGAATGAAAAATCTGAGAAAAATTTAGCGTACTGCTTGTGATGGTAGCTTGTCAGTAAATTAATATAAAAGAAGCACAATTCTATGTTTTCGAGAAATCTTTAATTTTCCAATTTTCTTTTTTACTTTTTCATTTTTGATAACCACAGATTGCGACCGAAAAATCTGAGAAAATTCTATGACGTGCGGCTTGATTTCCGAAATAAGCCACATTTTTTTCGAAATATTAGAAAGCCGACGAAGGAGAGAAGTGGGCGGAAAGGCGCGCAATCTAGTTTAACCTGTAACTACCCCCACGGACAAGTTACAGGGTTGCAATTTTGCACAGATATATTGTTCGATATAACATAAATAATAAAACTTAACAATACGATATATTGTTAAGTTTTCGCTCGAATATCAGTAACAATGTAAAAGTTACTTTGAGTCTATAATTGTGCACACTGCTGTATATATCACGAAGAAATAAATAGAGTAAAAGAAAGCGTTCACAAAATGTCAGAAAATACTTCGAACAGCGACGGTTAGTTCCAAGGAAACTGAATCATGAAACAAACAGAGGGGTTGCGATCCGTAAGCTGTAGTCCTACGGGGATAATCTCCAGCCGATGGAACACTAACCCCTTACACTATAATAACGAGTCAGACAGAGAGATCTCGTACGTGATCTATAATACTATATATGCGAATGCTACTCGTTTCTTCATAACTTGAAACAGCTTCGTAAACGTAGAAGTGAAAGAAAATTACTATCGAATAATCTTCCCAAATTTGTCCATGGACCGTTAATTTGGATGCGCTAATTGCGAATCACTCGACCGTGTCGTCGACGCTTCGACTTCCTCGTTTTGTTGCTTCACGAGCTCGCCCTTAAGAATTGTTTCGCCGATGGCGGTAATTGAAACTTGCTTTCGTCGACGGCCACGCGAACCACCCTGCGCCACGAAAATGGACAATTCGAGAAGCGGAGATACGATTGTTCGAGCCTCGCGGTTCGTTTTCGTAGTTAACGCTTGTCAACGGCTATAAAAAACGAGCCGCGAGGCTCGAACGATCGTATCTCCTCTTCCCGAATTGTCCATTTTCGTGCGCGATCCGAGCGTCGATTAGGCGAGGACCGAACCGCGGATCTAATACGCGAAATAAAAATGTTCGTCGTTTCTTATATCGAACGGAAATTAGATGAAAATGTATTTCTCCCTTTAACGATGTTGATACGGTGAAAGCAATGCCGCGACATTTTTCTTTCGTCTTCGCTGTTCCGTGTTCGATTTAGTCATTTACGCTATGAGCGTGCAAAATCCGTTGTCCACCGACGACAATTTGTCGAAGAAACGGATTTTACACCATCGCGAATTAACGCTTTCCGATATCCAAACCGTTGAGACGTACAGCGACTCCAATTAATATTCGCGCCCCTTTCAAAACGCGACAGCTTCTTTGAAACCGGACCAAACGATTTCAATTTTTTTTTAAATGACAGAGGGACCAGTGTACTAGACAATGACTAAACTACTTTGTTACGATTTCGCCATTGCTTGGAACGACGAAACAAAATATAACAAATTTACCGTATACCTGCTAAAGACGAATATTATTCGTTTCTTCCAAGTCGAAGCAGAATTTGTTTCGTCTGCTATCAAAATCTAGAAACGAAAGTAAACGAAGGCATACGAGAAACGACAATTGCCTCGCCGATTAGAGAAATTTGTTGAGGGCGGAGAAGTGCCGATCAACGTGGATCCGCAAGAAATCGCGAAGGGTTGACGGCAAATATCCGCTCTGTATAACAATCGTCGTTTCAATTTATTTCACAAAATCTATTCGATAGCAGGTATGCTATGTTCTCGATAACAATCTCGAACGCGAGCTTATTTCATTCCCACGGCTATGTCTCGATCTACTCTCAGGGATTAACGGGAATTCATGGGAATTCGCTGCGGTAATTAAGGGAGTGCCCTGCGCAATCGAGGATATCTTAACGTTTCGTTATCGTCTACCCAAGAGCACGCTGGCAGAATTAGACCGATAATAATAACACTGTATCGCTCCATTTTGCACATTTATGTACAAATACACTTTTCGATCTTGACACTAGAACCGCGAGCGTAATATCGTTTTTATAACAATATCAAAATTCGATTTATCTAAACTTCGTTCGATCTTTATCATAAATATATATAAACAAGTTCGCCTAAAAATTNCTCCCATTAATATTCGCGCCCCTTTCAAAACGCGACAGCTTCTTTGAAACCGGACCAAACGATTTCAATTTTTTTTTAGATGACAGAGGGACCAGTGTACTAGACAATGACTAAACTACTTTGTTACGATTTCGCCATTGCTTGGAGCGACGAAACAAAATATAACAAATTTACCGTATACCTGCTAAAGACGAATATTATTCGTTTCTTCCAAGTCGAAGCAGAATTTGTTTCGTCTGCTATCAAAATCTAGAAACGAAAGTAAACGAAGGCATACGAGAAACGACAATTGCCTCGCCGATTAGAG